AGGAATGCCTGCGCAGCTCCAGCTGCACCTCCGTCCGTCTGTCCATCTGTCACACGCTAAGCCAAGCAGAAAGCGGGTGTCCCCGGGCAACGTGAGCCCTGGCACGGGGCCGGGCTCCCGGGCGGCTGCTCCAGCCCTGGAGGGGTCGCACAGACAGGGCACACGCGAGACCCCCGCTGCGGCAGGGCCCACCGAGGCCAGGATGCCCCTAGGAAAGTCCCTCTCTGGCACAGCCGGGCACCCCACGTCCCCCCCCACAGCGCTGGGCTCCTTCATGGGGACCCACCTGCAGAGCCTGGCTCGGGTGGGGAAGGTCCAGTGGCCCCCGATGGCAGTGCACCCCCTCCTCAACAAAATCACTGATGCTGGAGTCTCCATCTGCAACTCACTCAGCACCAGGATATTGTTGGGCAGGAGGAGCAGCGGTGGGGCAGGAACACCGGCATCCTGGGGACCCCACGTGTTCGGACCCTCCGATTCCCCCCAGGCCCCCTGGGGTGCCAGGCCAGCCTACCTGTGGATGTAGTTGTTCCTGTGCAGGTGCAGGACACCGCAGGCCACCTCGCACGCCATCCTCTGTAGCGTCAGCGGGTCTGGGGTCATGGCCTCGGCCCCCCGGCAGCTCCGCAGGTACCCCTTCAGGTCACCCTGCAGGGCAGTGCCACTGTCACCCTCCATGGCACTCGGCTCGCAGGGGGCTCAGCCATGCCCAGCAGGGCAGAGCACTGCCATGCACCCTGTCCTGCCCTGCCTGCAGCCCTGCCTGCAGCCCTGCCTGCAGCCCTGCCATCCCCTCCGCAGCCAGAGCTCGCGCCCCGGCCCCACGGTGGCACCCTGGGGAGTAGGACAGGATGCGGGGGGACGCACGGGACTCACCAGCGGGCAGAACTCCATCACCAGCAGGTATGGGGTGACCTCGGCGCACTGGGCCAGGCACTGCAGCAGGTTGGTGTGCTGGAGGGCCCTGTGCGGGGCAGAGCAACAGGGGCACATCGGCACCGCGCCGGCTGGGGTGCGGGGACAGCGGTAGCCCCCAGGGCACCATCTCCCTGCCTCCTCTGCTGCTGCGCTGGGGGCCAGCATGGGGGCTGCCGGGAATGCCGGGAGCGGGTACCAGCACGTCCCAGCGCCCCGGGACGTGCCACAAAGGGACATTTGTTCAGCTCTGCCAGGGCAGGGAGCAGCTCCACGCCCCCCCCCCCCTCGGCCTCGCTCTGCCCATGACCTCACCGCAGCCCGCTGCCCCTGCACCGCGGCCAGCGGCTCCCGGCACAGCCCTTGTCCTGCCTCAGTGAGCTCCAGGCAGGCAGGCCATGGGGCCGGGACAGAGCCGTGCTGCCCAGAGAGCTCGGCCGGGCACCTCCACGGGGCAGCCACGGCTCTGCTCGGCAGCCCAACGTGGCACAGAGGGGACCAGGCACCATCCCACAGCATCCCTGCTCCCAGCTGTGCCCAGTGCAGCAGCGGCACCGCAGAGTGTCCCCAGATGTACCTGTAGGGCTGTGCTTCCTCCAGGAACTGCATCTGGTCCTGCACGCTGGCGCTCGCCTTCAGCTCCTTCACCACCACCTGGGTGCTGCTGATGCCCGAGTTCACCTCCCCCAGGAACACCTGGGGCGAGGGACAGGCTCGTCCCCTCCGTCCTCACCGCATGCCCCATCCTCACCCCAAACCCCATCTTGCACAGCCTGGGCCCCGCAGCCAGCCTCCCACCAGCGTCCCTGGGGGACCCTGCCCCTGCCGCTCACCTTTCCGAACCATCCATGCCCAATCTCCTTCAGGTAGAGCAGGCTCTGCCGCCCCAGGTCCGCCGACTTGAGGAGCTGCACTGTAACAGAGCACATCCAGCTGCCCGCACGCCCTCCTGCCCGCCTGCCCACCTGCCCAGCCTGCCCGCGTTACCCGTTGGTCCTGGCCGAGCCCTGGCAACCCCAGCATGCCACCCGGTGCCCCGGGGTGCTCCGGAGCATCCGCCACAGCAGCCATCCCCAGGCACCCCGCAGCCAGGGCATCCCTCTGTCCAGGCATCCTTCCACAGCTGTGCCGGCTGGGGGATGCAGGGTACTGGTGTCCTCAAATTGGGTGGCAGCGGCGAGCTGGCTCCCTGCCCCTTCTCCTCCTCAGGGACCAGGGAGAGCGAAGCCGAGCCCAGTGGGAGCTCTGGCATTTAGCCCCTTCCCAGCCCCCCCGGCGCAGGTCCTGCCCCTCGGGCACCCCATGCCAAGGGCGGGCAGCAATGGGGCCATTGTTGGGCTGTGCCGCGCCGCCTCGCACCGCGCCGGCCCCCCAACACTGCTGCCATTCTCCGGGCTGGGGAGCGACGCTGGGTGGGAGGGGGGGCCGCAGCCGGGCACCCCCCGCATTCCTCTCCCACTCGCGGGTATGTTTATGTGGGACCGTGGCTCGCGGGTGCCACAGTTCGGGGAGCCCATGTCCCGTCCCACCCTGCCGGGGTGCACGCTGCTCCCCCGGGCTGGTGCCATGCACGGGGCTGGGGACAAGCCACCACGGACCCTTGCAGAGAGGGACAGTGGCAGTGCTCCCCAGGGACCTCGGCTGCCTGTCCCTTGCCCAGGAGCTGCTCCTGCCAGAGATGCTCCGCCGGAGCCATCCCTCCTTAGCAGGGGAGACCCACCATCCCCACCTCACCCCACCGCCCCCTCCCCGCAGCCTGGTGATTCAGGACCCCCGAATGGTCCCTGCATGGACCACCACCGCCTGCCCCCGGCCCGGCTTACCTGACCGCCCCGGCTGCTTGGCCATGGGCAGGGAGACCTTGGTGAGGGGCAGGACGTAGACCTCGGGGCCATGCTGGGGGTCGGGTGAGCCCTGGGCTGAGAGCTCCGTCACGTAGTCATCCCCCTCGGTGTTCTCAAACTCCTGGGCCGGGGGGCGAGCGGGGGGGCACACACCGAGCAGAGACAACTGACCCTGTGGGTTCCCCACTGCCGGCAGCCTGCCCCGCACGCCCCTCTGCCCGCCGCCCCGACGGACTCACCCGTGCCATCGCACACCCCAGGCACGGGACCCCGAAATCACACCCTCCCGGCACAGAGCCCTGCCTGCACCCCAACAGCAGACACCCCCCTCCCTGCCATGGGGATGGCCCCGGGGCAGGCACCCACTCCCCACCACCCTGGCACCCCATCCCATTACCTGGCTGTGCCGCCCAGCCAGCCACCGGCTCCTGTAAGCCGCCTGGGCGAGCAAGTAGGCGATGGTGAGCATCTCGCCCTGCCCAGCCCTGCCTCATGGTGCTGCCATGCACCGCGACTCGCTGGTCCCGGGCAGCCTCCGGCCCAGGCCGTGCGCCCCTATATAGCCATGGCGGGGGCACGAAGGGGCTCATTGTTCCCCTCCGGCACGACGAGGTGCTCCGGCCGGTGTGGGACAGTTACACAACAGCCCAGCGTGTCCCCTCCTCTGCCTGACCCCCTCCCGCCATGGGCGCCACAAGCCTCCACAAAAATCCCAGCAATTAGGGAAAAACGTTTTCTCGGCACATTCTGTGCCTGTGAGGTCAGGGTGCCTCCCACCCCCGGGGGCGTGCGGGTGGGACCGCCGCGGCCCTTAACCATGCCGTGGCCTGGCCCAGCACAGAGCCGGCAGCCCGGATGGGTCAGGATACGGCCCACAGAGATGCTGAGCCCCACAGATCCAAGCCCTGCAGAGTGAGGAGCCCAGATGAGTCAGGATATGACCCCCAGTGATGCTGAGCCCCACAACGTCCATGCTCTGCAAAGCAAGGAGCTTGGCTGGGTCAGGATACAACCCACAGTGATGTTGAGCCCTGGCAGCACCCTGGCAGGCGGGGGGGTGCTGAGCTCCCCCTGAGCAATGCTACCCTGAGCCAGGACACATCCTGCGCTGGGGCTGGCCCTGGCAGCAGCAGGGAATCCTGCACCCAGATCCTCCGGGTGCCTCCGTCCTTTGCTGGGCTCCCGGGGGGAAGCCCTGCCAAGTGCCCGGGCAAGCCTGGCCTGGGGAGACCCCCGCCCACCGCCCACCCCGCGTCCCCGGCTCACCTTGAAACCGATGTCCCCCTTCTTGCAGCACAGGCAGGCCAACATGAGGAAGATGAAGGTGAAGAGCCCCGAGAAGGAAACAGCCACGACGGCCAGCGAGGAGGACCAGGAGAGCTCGCTAAGGGGGGTGCCGTCTGTGGGGACAGGAGGGGCTCGGGCTCAGGGCAGGGGGCAGTGGGGGCAATGGGGAGGGTTGAGGCTGTGCCGGGCGTCCTGCCCGGGCAGGGGTCACGGGATGCAGGGGCACATTGTGGCTCACAGGGGCTTTGGCGGGGAGCACTGAGGGGGAACAGGGGTCCCAGCACCACTTGTGCCCCCTTTGCTGGCTCAGCTCATGGCCAGGATGGGTGGGGAGCCCAGGAGGGACCCCACAGCTGAGGCAGGACCCTGCTGGCAGCCCGCATGGAGGGGGACAGGGGGCACAGCCCCCACAGATGTAGGGTGGCAATGACACATGGTGGAGGGAGGCTGCACCGGCTTGGGGTCCCAGGCACTGCTGCCCAGCTGGGCCCTGGCCCCAGCGTTTGCCCTCCAGCAGGTATGGCAACAGCAGCAGCAGCCCCGGGCAAGGCAGCGTCCCGAGGCCAGACGGGTGCTGTGCCTGCGGGAGCCAGGAGGACGGGAAGCCGGTCCCCAGCGCCTGTGCAGAGCCAGCTCCTGCCCCGTCCCATCTGCAGAGCTGGGAGATGAGATCCCCCAGGGGAAGGGTCTGCCAGAGACCTGCCCCCGCTGCCGGGAGCCCCCGGCCCTGCTCCTGCTGACACCAACAGCTCTGCCTCTGCCCTGCGCTGTCCCGCCTGCAAGCACCGCTGGGCAAACTGCGGCCGCGGCTCCTGTCCCTGAGCCCCACACCACCGGGCACGGGGATGGGGATGCTGCTGCTCCCGGCTGGGCACTGCACCCTCCAGGCACCAGCACACCCCAAATCCGGCACCCACCGCCCCGCTCCAGCCCAGGCCATGGCTGCATGTCCCCTCAGGGTGGCGGGGAGCACAGTGGCGGGGGGGGGGGGGGGCCCGGTGCGATTGTGGTGGGAGGAAGCCGGAAGGCCGCGGTGCTGCCAGCAGAGCCGGCCTCGCCGGGGACCCGCACACAGCCCCACAGTGCCCGTTGTGGTGCCTCCCCACGGGACATCAGGGCTGGGACGGGTGCCCTGCCCTAACCCATGGCCCCGCTCAGCCATACCCGCCCGGGCGCAAGCCCCCATCCACCACCACAGTCCCTCCCCAGGCCACCGAGCGCGGTGCCGAGCCCTTCAGGGATGCTCATGGCACATGCGCGGGAGCCATGCATGGACCATGGTGCATCGCCCCGTCACCGGCCCCACACCCCGACCGCGCTGCCCCTCTGCTGCTGCCCGCGCTGGGGCTCAGCACCGCGCTGCTGGATCCCACGTGTCCTTGAGAAAGGCACCTGAAGGGCACAGAGGGTCTGGGGGAAGGTCCTGCCACCAGCACACGGCTGCTCCCAAGCGCTGCCCAGCACCACACAGCATGGGCACAGAGCACCCTGGCTCCCGGCACGGCGGTGAGCAGATGCACCGGCCCAAAGTGCTTTGGCACAGCCTGGGCCACACCAAACTCTTTGCCAGTGCTTGCGAAGGAGCTCAAGAGCCATCTTCTAAGGCTCATGGATGCAAAGCCAAACCTGGGAGGAGCTGGGGGTGGCGTTCCCCCTCCTTTCAGCTGGTTTCCATGGTGAACACGCTTTGTACCGCGAATGTCACCATTTTCCCTGGATAGTGGGACAGCAAGAGAGAAAATGACTCACTGAAAAGAGCCTTTTGAACGTCAACGGGGAGCAGAGCACGGCAACAGAAGCCTTTCCAACGGGGACCGTCAGCTGAGCCGCCCCTCAGACACGGCTCGGGAACCAGAGCTTTGCAAACGGACCACTCTCCAAACCAATGAGCCTATGAGGTCCAGCGGCTCCTGCCTCAGTTTCTCCACCTGCACAACTGGTGACCTGGGAGCCATGACCAGCCCAGACTGGGCAGGGTGCTGCACCGGGGCAGGGGCACCACTACCACCACGACCCACCGTCCGGCTGCCCAGGCAAGCAAGCGCCGCCCTTCCCCATAACCACAGCACAGGTGTTCGGTACAGCGATGGGAAATGTGGCATCATTTCAGAGGCCAAATTCTCCCAGAACCAGGTTGAATGCACCTGCAGCAGCAGCTGCCAGGGCACTGGGAGCACCAGGACACAAGGAACACTGGGGCACAGGGAGCAAGGCTGGCTGCGTGCAGTGTGAAGGACCCCAGGGCTCTCAAGAGAAGCTGGGGCCCCACCACATCCTGCACCCCATCCCGAGGCTCTGCCCCCTGCTCTCACAGGAGGAGCAGGGTCCCCTGGCACTGCACCATGCCCTCCTCTGGCCTGGGCGCTTGGCACCAGCCCTGAGCCGCTCCTGGGCAGCCTGCTCGGACGTCCATCAGCCGCGATGGGCTCTGGGTCAAGGCTGGGGTGCTCGGAGCTGACCTGAGCCGAGCAGAGGGTGCAGGTGGGTGCATGCAGCACGGTGGCAGCGCTGCTGGGATGCGGGGGGCACCCCACGGCTGAGCCCTGCACACCGTGCCGGCACGGGCACCAGGCTGGGGTAGGTGGGGGGGGTCACCACCCCAGGAGGGCCGAGACCCCTGCACAGCCCTGCCTGGCACCATCACGACCCCCCCCGCCCCAGCCATGGGGGTCTCGTGAGACTCTTCCAGCTGCAGCTCTGCAGAGCTCAACCCGTTCCCCCCCACCAAACTGCTTGTGCAGCACCGGCCTCGCCACGGGGGTCAGGCTGAGAACGGCCAGTTCGGTGCATCTTCCAGCCTGGCCAGCGGGAACTGCCGCATCACTCAGGTAGCCCCCAGCACCCAGGGCCAGCCTGGGCTAGCAACCTGCCCAGCAGCAGGGCCAGAATGAGCCGGTGGCTGCATGCAAGCCAGGCAACACCGTCCCCTCACCCCAGCCAGCCCTGCGGGGTGGGGACAGGCAGGGGTTTGGTGGCTGCAACAAGGCCACGGCTCCAGCCCCAGGGGCACCTGCCCCAGCCCCGGACTCAGCCCCGGCAAACGGGAGCAGAACAGCAACGGAGAGAGACCGGGGATGCCGGGTGCAGCGGGGCGCAGCAGGGTGCAGTGGAGCGCAGCGGGGTGCAGCGGGGCACGTGCTGCCCTCCCACCCCATGGAGCTGCCGCCCTGCCCAGCGCTGCCCGTGCCCCCCAGCCTGTTGCGTTGCCCACCCAGCCAGGTCGCGGCCCCGAACGCCGGTTCCTAACAGGGATGGGAAAAGACTGGGGGTGACCCAGCCATGGGGTCCCGGCCCTGCAGCGCGACACCGCTCTGGGCCGCTCTGCGGGCTGGAGAGATGCTGCGGCCGTCGCTCGTCTCTCCCCGGCGGAGAGTGGAGCCCAGCGCGGCGAGCGTTGGCTGACGTGTGCGGAAGGGACGAGCCGAGGGCTCCCGCAGAGCCCGGCGGCAGCTCAGGGCTCCCAGCCCAGGGCGAAGCCTGCCTGCGGGGCCAGCCATGGGCAGGCAGCACCCGGCTCCTGTCTGCGGGCTGGAGAGATGCTGCGGCCGTCGCTCGTCTCTCCCCGGCGGAGAGTGGAGCCCAGCGCGGCGAGCGTTGGCTGACGTGTGCGGAAGGGACGAGCCGAGGGCTCCCGCAGAGCCCGGCGGCAGCTCAGGGCTCCCAGCCCAGGGCGAAGCCTGCCTGCGGGGCCAGCCATGGGCAGGCAGCACCCGGCTCCTGCCCACCCACCTGGGTTACAGGCAGGGCTGCCCAGCACCCTCCCCAACCAGGCAGAGCACATGCGACAGCTCCGGAGCAGAAAGCTGTGGGGCGCAGGGCACAGCACATCAAGACCCCCCTGCTCCTGCCTGGCCTCTCGCTGCAGGACCTGGTGCAAGCCACAGTCCCGTGCCTCAGTTTCCCCATCTGTAATTCACAGAGGGTGGCTGCCCCCGGGACCACCAAGGGGCTGCATGGTGGGGCGAGGGCTCGCAGTGCCGTCCGGGAGGTGACGGATGCTCCGCCGCCTTGGGAGCATGGGCTGCACATCTTCCCCTGCCCCTTCACCGCCCCACCACAGCTCCCACCCCACCCCATGGACCTGCCGGGCCCTGCACCCCAGGGCACAGCACCCTGCAGCAGGTGCCCAGCTGGAAGAGGCTGGATTCGGGCAGAGAGCAGGGCAGGATTTGGGCAGGGTGCTGGGTCTGGATTCAGGCAGGGAGCAGGGCAGGATTCAGGCAGGGAGCAGGGCTGGATCCAAACACGCAGGACCCATCAGCACCTCCAGCTGTGGGCTCAGCGCTCCCCTGCCCTGGCAGCTCTCCCAGCACAGACACGGCCCTGGTAACGTGATAATCCCCAGGTCCATGGGCAGCTTCCAGGAAAGCAATTTTACACCCTACAGGATGAGCGCTCTGCTCACCCACATGCATCCAGGCGGCAAGAAACCATCCGCTGCCATACAGCACGCAAACGCAAGGCTGCTCCTCACAGTCTGTCTGCAGCTCCAGAGGGAAACTGAGGCACCGGAATAAGCAGGATGGCCCTGGCTGCTGCACCCCTCAGCCCAGATCCCTGTGGCCACGGGAGCAGCCAGGAGCGGGAGCAGGGTTGGGGCTGGCACTGCCCACCGGTGCCACTCGGGAGCCCAGCATAGAGCCGGTACCCGCAGCATCCTCCACCGAGACGCCGCGGAGCCATGCCAGGCTGGCCAAACCCAGGGCGCGAGGAAGCAGCACCCTGTACCCCCCAGCCCTGGAGACCTTCTCCCACCAGAAACAGCCAGAGCCATTCGGGCAACCTCTCCGGTGATTAATAGATCAGTTAATTTAAAATGCAAGGCACGCCTTGTTAATCTGTTCTCCTTATGTATCTTTTAATGTGGGCTTATTTAACCAATGCAGAAGTATTTTAAAAGGATTGATTCTTGCCTCTTAATTCTGGTTTTATCATCTTGGGATGAATTAGCAGTAAAAAAATAATTAGATGGAAAATAAAAAAAGATCATCCATCATTTTCTAACATGATGAAATAAAAATTAGGGCTGTAATAAGTACAGGCCTAGCTGCATCATTGTTGTGCATACACCAAGCGTGTCAGCCTGATTAGAAACAAAAAATCAAGTTCCT